CTCAAAAATTACATAGGAAACTTAGGGGGCAGTAAGTTTATGTTACTTATGAGGGAGGAATACCTCAGAAAATGAAGCTTGAGAATGTCTGCACAACTCAAAGAATGTGATCAATGTCACTAAATTGCACATAGTGTAGAAAATGTTGAGTTGGTATATTTTTGCAATTTATATTCTCAACAACAAAATAAATAAAATTTAGGGGAAAAAAAGGTGATTTGTCTCCTGAATTGGAAGTATAGTATGGTTGGTTTCTCTTTCCTTCTTATAATATTCTTGTGGTAGTTAAGGTTATATGTCAATTTGGCTTAGCATGGGTTTGAGTATCTGGGCAGCTAGATGTAGTTATTCCCTATGATGAGACTGGTAATCAACTCTATGGTGGTATCTACTGATGTGCTCGTCTGCTTCCAGTATATAAGATGACACTGTGAAAAGTCTTTGAGCTTCTTGGCACATCTGGGTCCTACATTTGGCCAAGTCTTCATCTCAGTGCCCTGCCATGTTGTCTGCTGATCTTGAGACTATTTCTGGACTTGAACTAGTGGCCCGCTGTTCTGCTTGATAATTTTTGGACTGTGCCATTTTATTTGTTGACCTTGGGTTTGTCAGCCTCAGCAGCCAGCAGCTGTCTAAGAGAAGCCTTCAGCTTCAGTGGGCTAGGAGCAAGAGGCAAAACTGAAGCCCAAGGTGGAAGAGCTTTTACCTAGCCCCTAGAACTGGCACTGTGAGACTTCCAGTCTCCTAAACTGTAAGATAATAAATCCCTGTTTGTTAAAGCCATCCCACTTGTGGTACTTTGTGTTAGAGTGGCACTAAGTAACCAAAACAGTGCTTAAACTTGAGAAAGCTTAAAAGAAATGTCAAATTTCTGACAAAAAACATTTAAATGTCTTTACTGACAGTGGGCTAATAAAAGCACAAATTAAGTTTATAGGTAATTAAAAACGTTTGAAATGCAAGACATTAAAACTTCAAAGATTCATATCAAAGTATAAACACATAGTCAGATTGAAAACCAACATAAAAAGGACAAATACTGAAATGCAAGTTTCCAGTTAAACCAACTTAGAAAACGTTCTTTAACATTATTTAAACTGCAATTAGATTGCAAACTTTACTCTCAGGAACCATTAAATAGCTCCCGGCTAAGTGATACTCAGAAAAGAAAATATAGATTCCATGAGGTCTCAAGGAATCTGTGTAGGGAACAATGACAAACAGGAAAAAAATGGAAAGAAGTGAATCCTTTTCTCTACAAGAGCAGAGAACAGAATGGTCAGTTTGTAATCAGTAAACAAAAAATATAAAAGATACACTCATTCTTAGGTAATTTCTATTTCATTATCTCATTTTACCCTCACTATAACCTTAGGAGACAGGGATGATTTATTCTCATTTGCACAGGTGAAGAAACTGAGGCTCAGAAGCGATAAGCAGTTTTTCAAGGTCACTTAACTGCTCAGTGAAAGTGACAGAATTCAAACACAACTTTAAAAAAATTGACACTTAAATTCATTAGTAAATATTTGCCTCCAGACATCAAGGTCAGTTGGCATAACAGCCCACAAAGACCAATGTTCTACAACCTGCTGTGGTCAGTATTGACTGGAGTCTTAAAAGCTTGTGAACAGCCAACTAAAGTGCAACTGTTGGTCACTCCTCATCCAGAGCAAAGAAAAGTGGAGGAAATCAAAGAGGCAAAGGACTTAAGTACCACACAAACCCCAGCCTCTATGACCATGAGACCAGAAGAACTAGATGGTGCCTGACTACCACTGCTCTGAAAGGATCACAATAGGAGATCTTGTATAGAATGGAAGAAAAATATGGAACAAAACTCAAAATAATAAACACCAGGCTAACTGGTCTGATAGAATTGTGGTATCCCTGATATTGCGGCCCTTAGACACCCTAAAAGCCTACAACTGAACTCACCCCTGTGCCTCAACTTGCAGCCCAACAATACACAGGGCTATTAGGTGAACAATGACACCAGGGAGGTACACACTCCTTAGAACAACCAACTATATGATATCAAAAGGGCAATGTTTGCCCAGGGATAAACTCAGAAGGCAGGAAGGGATAGGAAAGAAGTACAAAATCAAACCAAACTCACCGCCGTCAAGTCAGATCCGACTCATAGCAACCCCTCCTTTGGTTTCTGAGGTGATATCTCTACAGAAAGAAGTAGACTGTTCAATCTTCCTTCTGAGAAACAGCTGGTGGGTTTGAACCTCCAGCCTTCTGGTTAGTAGTCAAATGCCTTAAGCACCACAGAAATGGTAAACACAAAGAGGAAGTGTGAAGAGTGCTGTTGGAATCAACGTCAGAAAACAAAATGTGTATGAACTGTTGAATGGAAAAGTAATTTGTTCTGTAAACTTTTGCCCAAATCACAATAAAAAGTTCATATATATATACACACACACTTGTCTGCTAGTTTGTTGTACTGTGATGTCTTGCAACATGCTGTGATGCCAGAAGCTATGTCAAATACCAAGATGGTCAGCCACCTGTGGTGGACAGGTTTCATTGGAGCTTCTAGACTAAGACAGAGCAGGAAGAAGGATGTGGCCAGGTCTACTGAAAAAAAAAAAATTGGCCACTGAAAATCCCAATGGTAAGTTTCATTTCATATACTATTTAAGTATTTGGCATACTGAGAAAGTTTTAATAATTTAAATTCTCTTAACAGCTTAAACAATAGTAACATCCTTGGCTTAGGAGCATTCTCTATTATTTAATATTTTGCCCCCTAATTCATACATATATACACCAAAAAAGAAAACAAAAAAGACTATTCTGCAAAGTTAAAAGAAAAAAAAAAAATCAACTGAAGTGACATAACTGAGACACGGCATAGTACCACTGGAGCTGTTTTATCTGACTTGCTCTGATTCTGGCCCAGGAGGGTAACTGTAATGACTTTAGTCTCTAGTGAAGGGTAAGATCATTGTCATGACAATTTTCCATTCCATCAGATTTCTCTGACTGGTTTAACTCCCTGCCTCACTCTTTAACATTGATGCTCTAGACCTGGGGTTGGCAAACATTTTCTGTAATGAGCCAAACAGTAAATATTTTAGCCTTTTGGGGACATATGATCTCTGTTCCAACTACTCAACACTGCTAATGTAGTGCAAAAGCAGCCATAGACAATGTAAATGAATGAGTGTGACTGTGTTCCAAAAAAACTTTATTTATAAAAGTAAGTGGTAGGCTGGATGTGGCTAGTGGAAGCAAACTAGAGTTTGTCAATCTTGCTTTAGACCATTAACACTGAGTTTTAGGGTGATGAGTTTTCCTGAATTCTGTTCCTGAGTCAGCCAGACCCTGAGCTTTCTCACTTACCTCAAACCACTTCAATACTTTTGTTACCATTCCAAAATTTCTTCCCAGTTCTTTCCATACCATTTTCCTATTGTTTGCTTTGATTTCCATTATTGCTGATCTATTCTCTTCACTCTTAATGATCCTGTTCTCCACTACCATTTCTTTAAACTCTATCCACTACTTTTTCTGAATAGAACTAAGGTCTACTAAAAGGGAACTTAACTGGAAAAAAGAAGAATGCAGAGGGGGCAGGAGTATGGACTGTGTGCTAGACATTCAGGAAGACTAGGACTTTAGCAGAGGATGAAGAAGGAATCTGTGATTACTTGTTTTTTTTAATTTTCACATAAACATGAGAGTAATGACTAAAAAAAAAAAAAAAAAAACCAACTTGACATCTGTATAGTGTTTTATTAAATATTTATTAGAAATTTTCCTTTTTGTCTCAAGTCTCACCACTGGTGTTTGGTAACCCATTAAGTTATGTCTGTTATATACTGTGGTTTCACTCCTTTTCTACCTTCTTTAGAGCTCTGAACATACCAAAGCCCAACTAACACAGAGGACGAGAACAACAACAAACACAAAAATGTGGGTCAACATGAGGTCCAGACAAATGGCAATAGTCTTCACTGGGGAGAAGCTGCTTATCTTCAAGTGAGTCACTCTCCCATGAGCTGTTCTCCACATCTGACAGGAAGGTATGACCTGGTATCTCACAGTTGTTTCAATTCTCCTTCTGATGGTATCCTAATAATAACATATTGAACCATCAACTTTCCTTGCCCTCATCATTTGTGGGTTTTTTTCTATAAGTGACAAAGCATAGTTTAGAGAAAGCTGAATAATGTAGCAAAATCATGTCTTCCTATTACTGTGATCATAAAAAAACAAGGATTCACTCAATGTTAAGGACAACGCTGACTTGATCAACAACTATAATTAAGTTTATGACCCATTACCTATTTCAGGGTAACTCTTAAGAGAAATAGAAAATAAAAGGTCTACATAGCAGAGGGATAACAATTATCTAAATCTGTAACCAACATAATCCATGAGAACATAATTTAGAATCTGCTGTAAATACATTCCAGTTATGTACATTAAATTAGATAGTCTTGGTGGGCAGAGATCCTAAGCAACTTCCAACTCTTTAAGTTTTTACAGTTAATGTGAAAGAAATGACACTCCTTGGAGGAATGACACTATCTACACAACTGAATCCCTACTTTGGATCCTCAGAGGAACAATTCTGAGTCTTCCTGATAATAAGAACATGAGCCTTCAGCCTAACCTACCAAGTAAGAATTTCCTTATAAAATCAGAAGCTAAACAGGGCTTTGTTATAACCAACAGAGGGGGAAATGTGATATCATAATGATAATATTGCTACTTACCCCCAAGTATTTATTGAATTCCCACGAATGGATATCTGGAGATGAGGGATTAAAATTTGAGATCTCTGGCTAGAAATGTATTTAATTAGCAAATCAATGAATATAAAGAATATTCTGTCTCTGGCTCCAAACTATGCATTATGCAAGTGAAACTAAATGCATACAGAATTGGTTCTAATACAGTAGTTTATAGATCCTCACCTGAACATTCAGGTATTTAACACAGTGATAACAACGACTTACATTTCTTCACATTTGGTATCTTCTCAGGGTAGCTCTTCAGTGTGAATTCTTTGGTGTCTGATGAGAGATGAACTGCATTTAAAGCTTTTCCCACATTCATTACATCTGTAGGGTTTCTCTCCAGTATGAGTTCTCTGGTGTTGAATAAGAGCTGAAGAATGAATGAAGGCTTTTCCACATTCACTGCATTTGTAGGGCTTCTTTCCAATATGAATTCTTTGATGTTTAGCAAAGTTTGAGCTCCGGCTGAAAGTTTTTCCACATTCATTACACTCATAAGGTTTCTCTCCTGTATGAATTCGCTGATGCTGAACAAGATGTGTGCTCTGACTAAAAGTTTTTCCACACTCACCACATTCATATGGCTTTTCTCCAGTATGAACTCTCTGGTGTTTAGTAAGGGATGAACAATGGCTAAAGGCTTTTCCACATTCTTGACATTTGTAAGGTTTCTCTCCAGTATGAGTTCTTTGATGTTTGATGAGAGCTGATGAATGAATAAAAGCTTTATCACATTCATTGCATTCGTAAGGCTTCACTCCTGTATGAATCAACTGATGCTGAACGAGATGGGTACTTCGATTAAAGCCTTTCCCACATTCATTGCATTCATAAGGTCTCTCTCCAATGTGAATTCTCTGATGTATAGCAAGGGATGAGCTTTCTATGAAGGTTTTCTTACATTCACTGCACTCAAAAAGAATTCTGGTATGAGTTCTCTGATGTTTAGTTAAGTTAGCTCTGTGGCTAAAAGATTTCCCACATTCATTGCAGGTATAGGGCTTCTCTCCAGTATGAACTCTCTGGTGGCGAATAAGCACTGAATGGTAAGTGAAGAGTTCACCACAATCATTACATTTATGAGGTTTTTTTTCCTTATAGTTTCTCTGTCTTTTCATTAAGTTTGACTTCTGTTTCAATCTTTTCTCAAGTTTATTAAAAGGACAGGATCCTCTAGGAACTCTGCCTTCAGTGATGAGGACAGACTTTTGACTGAAATTTTTCCAATACATATCATGATCATGAGTTTTCTCCCTGGGCAGTGGATTCATATGGGTGAACATTTCTCTTAAATGCCTCTCCTGATTTCCTTGCTGATTCTCTAACCAATTTTCACATTCAAGAGTTGTTTCCAAGTTGGAGTCATAAACACCACTCCTTGTCAGTCTGTCTATTGCAATCTGGCATGATTCTTCTTTGGAAGAATCTTGCAGTGAAGTTGATTCCTTGCTTTCAGGTCTAGCTTCCCAGTCTGAAAGAAATTGGAAATGCAAAATTCCCTTGTTTTCTGTGCTCAACAAAACAGCAGCTCTGTAACAGGTAAGAGTTAAGGAAAATAAAAAGTGTACCTTCAAGGAGTATGCAAAAAGAAGCAAATGAAACAAAACTAATGCATAATATATGCAAAGAAAATGAATAGTTCCTCTCTAGGAGAGTGAAAGATGGCCAGAAATATAGCAGGATGAATGAAGATGAAGCAACATATCACTGGATGAATAGGAAATAAACACACTAGATCAGGTTAGGGAAGAAAGAACTTCTCACAGAATACCAACTGCTATAATAAATACCCAGAAAGTTTTCACATTAGTATAGATCACAGTTATGATTTCTAAATTTGTATTTGTCCAATTTTACTAACTTTCAAATATGCATTCCACTGCCTTTTTATTCTGAATATGTTCCCTAATTTTTTCATTGTATGTCCTGGATCAAAATTCTTTATGATCTCCCAAAAATATACTGGCAAAAATATAAAATTGTATATGCAAAAAGCTATTCTTTATAACAGAAACTGAGGTACTGAAAGATTGGAAATATTTCAAATATCCCACTACAGAGAACCGATTGAATAAACTATGGCAAATATATACAAAAGAGTACTATGGAACTTGAAAAAAAAAAAAAAGACAGTGATCTCTGTATATTTCTGTAAGTGATTTTCAGAGAATATGTTAAGTGAAAAAAGCAAGTTTCAAGTGAATACACAGAAAAAAAGCAGGGGATATGGTTACAAGTATATATATACACATATTTGGTTATATTTTCAGAACCATAGAAGGGTAAACCCAAAACTAACAAGAAATGATTACTAAAACAGCAAATGTCACAATAGAGGAGAAAGGGCAGGTATGGAAGCTAGGCCTCTCTAAATATATCGAATATAAATATACTGGAACTTCTGTATCCATATTAAAACTATTTATGAAGTTAAAATAATTTAAACAGTGATTCTGACAAAGTAATAAACAGATCAATAAGAAAGCACAGCAAGTTCAGAAATAAATTCAAGTATATATACAGATTAAGGATAATGCAAAGGTGGTATTTTTTAAAAAAACATTTAAAAAAAAAAAAGAATTGCTTTTCTAACAAATGATTTTATGAAAACTAATTAAACATTTGGAAAGGAATCAGATCTGTTCCTCATTCCATACACCCAAATAAGTTCTATTTATTCATCTATCCATTCATCTGGGTATTCATTCAACAACAAATATCTACTGAACTATCACTTGTCCAGTTTTGGTGTAGTACCAAAGAATATACCCAAAATTATCTGAAAAGGCTATTAAATACTTCATCCTTTCCAAACAGGTTGGATTTTCTTCATATACTTCAACCAAAACAACATTATCAGCACACAGTGCATTTAGAAACAATTATGAGAATACAGCTGTCTTCTATTAAGCCAGACATTAGTGATTTTCTAAAGTATACTAAAACAATGTCATTCTTCTAATTTTTTTTCATTTCAGAAAGTATTTGTTTTATTTAACTGTAGTGGGTTTATTATAGTTATTTTAAAATAAATACCTTAAAATTTGTTTTAATTTCTAATACAATAAATATTGACAGGCAAAAGCTCAATGAGTAAGGAAGACTGAAGAATCGATGCCTTTGAATTATGGTGCTGAAGAAGAATACTGACTATATCGTGGACTGCCAGAAGAATAACTGTCTTGGTAGAACTACAGCCAAAATGCTCTTTAGAAGCAAAGATGGCAAGACTTCATCTCACCTACTTTGGACATGTTACCAGGAGGGACTGGTCCCTGGAAAAGGACATATAGTTGGTAAGGTATAGGGTCAGCTAAAAGGAGGAAGACCCTCAACAAGACAGATTGACACAGTGGCTGCAATAATAAGCTCAAACACAGCAACAACTGTGAGGATGGTATAGGACCGGGCAGTGTTTCATTCTATTTTATATGGGGTTGCCATCAGTCAGAACTAACTTGACAGCACCTAACAATAACAACAGGTAAAACCCACTTAAAGGAAGCTCCTTAGAGTCCATAGTAATTTTTGGTGAGTTAAATTTGGTCTTGTGGCCAAAGCATTTAAGAACCACTAAGACAGACCACAGAGACAGAGGAAAAGTACTGTAAGATACAGCTTGACAAATGACTCAAAGTGCGAATTTACAGGATTTAGTAGGACTCAAGAATTTTGGGTGTTATCCAAATAGCAATGTGAAGCCACTGAAACATTTAAGTAAAGGGGTAACATGATGAGATTTACATTCTGAAAACATCACTTGCACTGCAATGTAGATAATGGAGCAAATGGGGGCGAGAGAGGAAACAAGGGAGATCATAATAGTAGCTAGGCCAAATAAACCAAAAAAGGATGTGAAGGAATGTTAACAGTGAATAAATATTTAGAAGATACCTGTTACCATCAAGTTGATTTAGAAGATAATCAGGTAAATAAAATGATGAAGTGGACAAAGGAGAGAGAGGGATGTTGACTCAGCAAAACTAAACAGACTTTTGGCTTGTACAATGTAAAGAGTGTCACTAACACGCTGACTGAAAGAATGATACTGTTGGGGGAACTGGGTATGGGGGTATATCAGGCAATAGTCTTAAACATGTTATATTACGTTACCTTTGTCATGAACAAACGGGAGACATCACATAGTTACATAGATGTTGAGAACAGAAGCATGGAGGAGAGAGATCTTAGGATGAAAATATAAATTTGGATTGATTGGCCAAGAGATATTAATCTGGTTGTAGGAAGGGGTAAGACTATCTCAGGAGAAAAGTAGAGGCTGCACACACAGGTGACCAGCAGGCAAAATGTGACCTTTTGACATGTTCTGTTTGGTCCACACTGCTGATATACATTTTTGTAATTAGTTCCCAACATTTAAAAATAGTCTATATTTTACATAGATATTCAAATTTTGGACTTTCCTTGGGGGGGGGGGGCAAAAACAGAAACATACTGAATGACAACAATGAGCTAGAATAAGAGTTGACAAACCACAGTTCACTGCCTATTTGTCTAAAATAAAGTTTCATTGTTAACACAGCCACACTCACCTATTTACATATATCCATGGCTATTTAAACACTAACGATGAGAGATGGGTTAATTGCAACAGAGACTATATGCCTCAAAAACCCTAAAATTTTTACTATCTTTACAAAGAGTTTGCTAACCTTTCAGCTAGAGCTAATATAGTGATGGTTACTCCTTTTAAGGAGTAACCATTATTTTTAAAATAAAAGTTTCATAGATTTTAGTTTTCCTTTTAGTTGAGGAAATCCAATTTACCAGTCCCCATCCTGCACTCAGTTTATATTACCTCTTGGACCATGCAGGCAGCTCAAATTTGATTATGGGTATATAGTGGGTAGGAGACTAAAACCAAGCCTTGAGTAATTCCAATATTTAATTATTCAGAAAAGCTAAGAAGATACAATGTGAAAAATTAAGAAGCAATTCCAAATGGATTAAGATTTAAAGAAAGAGTGAAATATAGAGAAAGAATTAAATGACACAAACAGAAGCAATTATTTATGTGTAACTTTGGAATGAAAACAGACTTTGAAAGCACTAATCAAAACATGGAAAAATAAAAGTTTCATAGATTTTAAGATATTAAATCTGGACATCAAAAAATTTAGCAAAACTGAAAAACAAAAATGAGAAAAATATCTCGGGTATATAGAGCTTCTACAGATTACAAAGGAAACGGCAGCGTCTCCTGTAAAAAAATAGAGAATACTGGTGAATACGTAAGTCACAAAAACTAACAAGACTACACAGAAAATAAGATATATACATAACCACAGGTTTAAATAATTCTCCCAATAATCAAGAGAACAAGATTTAAAAAAATAAAAATCAACAAGTTTTAAAAAACTTGCTTAGCAAACATTACCTCATATGTGTGTGTGTGTATGTATCCAACAGATGCAATTTTTTTTTTTTTGGTTCCATGTGTGGAAGATACATTCAAGTACACATGAAACTTGCAAAAAAGCAAAAAAGCTGACCATACACTGAACTAGAAATCATTCTCAACAAAAAAGACTGACGTCACTGAGTATCTTATGTTCTCTGACAACCAATACAAGAAAGCTAGAGATCAAAAAAAAAAAGGAAAACCAGAACATTTTATTTTTCATTGTTGGTCAAAGAAGAAATGAAAATGAAAATTAGAATAATTACTTCAATAATAAAAATACTACTTATCACAACTTGAGACATACAACTAAAGCAGTTCTTATAGGGAAATACATTGTCTTAAATCATTATATGAGGAAAAGAAAGAGGGCTGAACATCAATGAGCCAAGATCACAAGAAAAGTAAAAGCAAATTAAATGTAGAGAAAATAGAAAGAAAAAAAAAGATTAGAAAGCGATTTTTTTTTGTTTTTTTGTTATTTGAAGGTTTAAGCAAGTCCTTGCAAAACCACTTGAGTTTTTTTTTAAAGTATATTTAACCATAGATTTAATATCCTGGGTTTTTATAAAGACGGTTTTTTGCTGTTAATTTATCAATTTTATAAGTCTTTTCAAAAACTTGGCCTAGCCAAGTTGACATACAAACAAGTGTATTTCATTAGTGAAATTGAATGCAAACATACAATAGAATGAATCAAAAAGCCAAAAATTAGGTTTTTGAAAAGACTTATAAAATTGATAAACTGTCTTATTTCTCTAGTGCTGCTATAACAGAAATACACAAGTGGATGGCTTTAACAAACAGGAATTTATTCTCTTACAATTTAGGAGGCTAGAAGTCTGAATCAGAGTGCCAGCCTTCAGGGCTGGGTAAAGGTCCCCAACCTTAGGCTTCAACTCTGCCTCTTGTTCCAGGCCCATTGGAGCTGGAGGCGTTTCCTAACTCAGGAAGCTACTGGCTGCTGAGGCTGACAAACCCAAGGTCAGCATGTAAAATGGCACAATCCCAAGATGAGCAGGCAACATGGCATGGCACTGGTTCAAGTT